TACTCCGTATCCAATGATATCACAATATGGTGATATTGTATCTAATTCAGTTGTTGCAATACTTAAACATGATCCTCGTCGCGCCATATTTATAACAGAAAAACTAGTTGGTCAACAATTAAAAATGTCATTTTGACAATTTATTTCGAGTAAATGTTTAGTTCGTTTTAAAAAGAAACCATTTTATTCTGATTTTGTAATATAATTAAACAAATATAAAATAGAGAAAAATACGTGCTACAGTGTTGTTTTAGAGTTTTATCGAACGTTAAACATGACTCGAATTTGCTGCTGCTGTAACACGTGGTAAAAATGAACTTAAATTAACCGATGCATCAATTACTCCAGTAACACATTTCATTGAAAATGCAGTTATAGAAGTAAGATACTTTCTAATGTATTATTTATTTTATGCTGTTGAGATGCTGAAATTTCTTAAGTTAATGTTCAATTTATGCATCAGACTTACAGTAAAGTCCATGCTCTCCATCTACATCTTGAAGAACATCAGTTTTGATTTACAATAAAAATTTAAAGTTTACGTGATAAATATAAAAAAGATTATGAGTCATATTTTATTTATTGGTTATTACCATTGCATTTATCATATCGTGATAAAAACAAAAACCGATGCAGAATTTTATAATCATTTAAAAATGAATGCCTAAAATACGTACAAAATTAATCCAAACGTAAACGAATTAATTTCGAGGTCGATTCAATAACGTTATTATTTTTTTATTCGAATAGAATTTTGTTACAGAAATTGTTTCATTAGAAAGCAAACAAAGTGGTATCGATACACAACATGCAAGAGAGCTAATGTCCGATCCAGTCATTTTTCTTCGAAAATTGATTGGTGAAGTATACATTGTTTGTAACATCTACACCCACACACCTAATTTGTTTTAGATGTTTTTCAATATTCTCAATTGAAGTGCAACTCGTTATTTATAGGATCAATTTTTTTATGATTAATTGGAATACACAATATATAGAACATGTAGCAAAAGGAATACCCTATTTAATTTGTAATCGTCACATGCGAAAAATTTTTCTTGAAGAACTTTGTCTTTTACACACAGCAGATGCCGAAGCAGCTTTTGTTCATCTTGCTTTAAAAAATGAAGATTCAAAATATATTCCAGCAATGAGGGAACGCTTTGATCAGGCTAAACCAGTTTCTATCGAACAAAATAATAATATACAAATGCCAAACAAACAAAAAACGAGTATATTTAGAAATCATCAGTGCCAAAGATATTTCATTAAAATTAGCGATACCTTCTCATATCGTTTTGGTATGGATTTATTCTTTCAAAATAGATTTGTGTGTACCGATGTAGAATGAAGGATCTCGACAAGAATTTTGATGCAAAATCATTACGAGTTGAAATTCAAATTTACGGTGCTGAAGAAAAGATCGGCACTTTAGATAGGTGGGGTATTATATAAGAACATGTAACACGTCAGTTACATCCCGCATTGCCTTCAGTTTCTATTGATATGATTTCTGATATGTCAAAAGCATTCGTTGAAGGTTTATAAAGAATCATTAAGATTTCTAGAAGTATGAGTTAAATACAAAATATGTTCAAGATGTTATGTATAGCTGAGTTAGCCCGATTCATAGTTTGGGTCGGAAGTGATAAGAACATGTTTAAACTCTCCTCGTCCTTTTCATACTCATATACCGTTTCCTATAGTTGAACGATGAATTACATATATTGTTTTATTTTTTTATTCCGATAAAATTCGCCCTGGTTCATCAGTATCTTTGCTTGTCTTCGATCCGAAAATTGAGCAACATTCTAGCCGGTAAGTTCTATACATTGTAATATTTGTTGTCTTGATGTCAATCACTAACTTCAATGTAGAAATTATTCACCGGGAGAAATTTTTCAGTCATTTTTATGAAAAATATTGTTTTTGCCGTGTACTTATATTTCGCATGGTTTTATAACTTTTAGATACTTTCTTTTCCTTCTAGAATTCGATCCAAACAATGACAATAATTGTTTTTTCAAGCAGATTTCTGTCACAGACACGTCTTTTTTCTTCTTGTATTTTTATTTTTTCTGTCATATTTTATCTCAATTCATTGTGTTCTTCATTTTAGTTTCGATGAGATTTTAAATCCATGTGAAACTCACCTTTATAAAAAAAAATCGGACCATTTGGAAATTGGCATCTAGAGCGCTTGGTCGCATGTTATAAACTTAATAATATAAAGTATAAGGAGCACATAATACAAAAACAACGCTGATTGATCGTAAGTATTTGAATATAGATTGCCTATTAGCTGACGAAGACTTTTACGGAATGATTTCTATTTTCCTACTGGTGTTTTTCTTCCTATAATAGCGTTAATAGGATATGAATGTATATAATTCTCCTCTTCTATTAAGTTGTCTAAACGCATCATGGGCTCATAAAAAAATTATTTTTCCCGTTTCACTTTTTTACTATGAAAACTGCTGACTTCCACATTTGCTACACTTCAATCGCTTTAGTCATTTTAGGATATAGGTGAAGGTGAAGATGGATGGATGGATGTCAAAGCGGCTAAAATGACTGAATAGACCTAGAGAGATAGATTGGGAGATCTAAAAGTAAAATGGGATAAATTTTATTTGCCGTGAACCCCTAATTTTCTGTCACTCATAGCCTAACACGCAACGAGGCCGTAACGGGAATATGACACCTCTACTACTGAGCTAGAATACAAGATCATTATGTCTTTTCGTAACCAACTTCATGCTTTTAAGTAGATATGAATCGATAAAAATATTTTTGTGTAAAAAGGTGTTATGATCGTTGAGTGTGTCCTTGGAGAAAAGCTTCAAACAAAGTAATCTCCCTTTCAAAGGAATAGATTCTAATTGACTAAGACATTGCAATTATTCAGAGATACTAGCTTTGCTTCAACACTACACTAATCAATGCTGAATGTAGTATTTTTATGGTGGAATCATAATAAAAATCTGTTGATATTAGCATTAAATTAGCGCAATGCTAACACTAAGCCGGTACCCATACGAAAAATGGATTTTTAGGAAGCAGTTTCGTTTAAAAGAGTTTCTTGATACGAATTGATTTTGTTCGCTGCTTGCTGAGTTGTAAATGTGCTATCAGTAAATTTAGTGGTGACAAGAGGTTTGATTCACTCAAAGGGGCCTTCGTCCTAATCATGATCCACAGTACAATTACATAAAAATTTATTTTTCTTTCTAACCCAAAAATATCTACATCACAAATTGCAAAGCAATGTTTGATAAGAACGATGTCAATGATTCAAAATAAAAACACAATTTCGCTTCTTTTTTTGGATTTGCTCACAATCGAGAATTAATTGTAAATAATAATGAAATAATGTTTGCTTTGTCTTTGTCATCATGATAAACAACAGGAATACAATTGTAATCATCTTTTGTTTTTGTTACGTACACTAATCTTGTTTCTCAAAATGCGGTAGAAATCTTCCATCCAATTTATGCAAGAACCCAAAATGATGATGATAATGTTTGTTTCTTCGATTGGCTTTGATGCCTCACCTTCGATATCGTCATAGTAGTAATGTGGAGCCCGTCTATATATTTCAACTTCTGTGTCGTATATTTCGGACTTTATGGACCATGGGATTGATTTTGTACGACGAAATAAGGATCGATTTTCAACAAAAAATGGATCGTCTGTTCGGATATAATGGTCAATCATATGAGAGCATTTGGAATACGATTCAGGATTTGGATGACCAGAGAAAAAAACTTGTTCATAGAACTGACGAGACTCAAAAGGACTAAAATAAATAATTACAGATTATATCAATATTTCATACATTAGGATTGTCAGTAGTGTCACACTTGAAACTTGAATTCAGTTGAAAATCGAAAATTTCAACTTTCAATTTTCAATTGAATTCAAGTTTGATATATATGCACTCTTGGTGTCATGCTCGAAAAATTTCTCAAGTTTCCCAACGAAAATCGAAAAATTTTACGAGCCGAACGTCAAAATTTTTCTCAACAATCGCGTAGGAAACAATATTACTCTATAAAAACAAAACGTATAAAGCACTGCTCACTTCAATATTATTCACAAGATTATAGTAAGTATACTAATGTCGGCGCCAGAAGTCAAGGCAGGTGGATGTTTTTTGAATAACTCCTGATAGGAACAAGATAGAAACTTGCGGTTTTCAGCGTTTGATAGCCAGAGCCCAGGAACATATTTTCATAAGCAAAATGTTTTCTAAGGGAAAATCGGAAGACAAGATTTTCAGAAGATCACTGAAAAGTCACTCTGAATTTCTGAAAACTGTTATAGAATTCGATTGATTTTCTTACATATTCAGAATCAGCATCCAAAACCGAGCCGANGCTTTCTACTGTCCAAATGGCATTTTGGTGGAATTTCACTTTTTGACCGACCCTGAGACAGACACCAGGAGTGAATTTCTCGACGAAAACAAAGTTCGTAGAAAGATTCGAAACATATACGAGTCGGCTCGGTTTTGGATGCTGATTCTGAATATGTAAGAAAATCAATCGACTTCTATAATAGTTTTCAGAAATTCAGAGTGACTTTTCAGTGATCTTCTGAAAATCTTGTCTTCCGATTTTCCCTTAGAAAACATTTTGCTTATGAAAATATGTTCCTGGGCTCTGGCTATTAAACGCTGAAAACCGCAAGTTTCTATCTTGTTCCTATCAAGAGTTATTCAAAGAACATCCACCTGCCTTGACTTCTGGCGCTGACATTAGTGTGTCTGCAAATTAAATAAAAATTAATCTAAATGTTTGACAAGCTCAGAAAAGTTTATTTCATGTAAATGGAATTATCCTTCAGTTTAGTGCTCATGATGCTTAATTATGATAGACATTCCGCTTAAAATGAAACGAAAGAAAGTCAATAATTTTATTTTAGTTAATCTCTGATTTTTCTTTTAAAAATAACGGAGAATATTAGTGCTTCCAATCTTTATCAATGAAAAACAAAACTCACTGGTAAGGTTTATATTCATAACAAGGACCTAGACTAGGTATATAATAGCCATAAGTTGAAGACCAATGTTGTGTGATTGGTGTATTATTCACTACGAGGTAGAAACGTCCAGAACCTCGATGATGTTTCAAAGGTGAGTATCTATAGTAAGGACATGACTGGTCTTTTACTTGTCGCACTTTTTCAAGAGAACCTAAACCAAAAAAAGAAAAAAGTCAGAACAGGATATTTCTACATATGCTCACATTGATGTAAGTTGAAAAAATCATTTAGGAATCGCTCGTCAAGATAGCGCGCTGCACACACAGCAGATGGTGTATCATGTGTTTTAAGCGCTACTTCCGTAATGATTTGCCCATTTTGACCGTCGAGATCTTCATACAAATGTACTTCACCATTATAAAATACATGTTGGAAAAGATTCCCCGTATCAGCAACTAAACTTGTGAAGCCATCACTTGGGTGCGTTATATAATGCAGACCTCTTTTATTGTGTCTTTTTTGTGCTTGTTTTTTCAAATACTCTGGCCATAGTTTCACAGGCATACCAGTCCACGAAAAAAACAATGGATTTCGAATATATTGATTGACATCTTTGTATATGAGACATCTAGGCCATACAGCACGAGTAAGTTCCCGCAGAAGAACGGCAGCAGCGACGAATAGAAACTAAATGTATTAATGCATTAAATATATATATGTCGATGCCAATGTACTTATAGAGCTCAAAGTTATTTATCAGTCTATAAACTTCTCCGATTAACATTTAACCATAAAAAGAAATAGATTTGCTGGTGAGGAAGTCGAAAAAATTAAAATTAGTCAACTGTGAAGCTGAAAGAACTGTATTGGGCTTGATGGTCTATTTCGAACAAGGATACTATATATCAATGCTATTGTACATATATTATTAAATTTAAACATATAAAATCTAAACCGAAAGTCATCGATGTAAGTTTTAAGTAAAGTAATTGATTCGAAAATTCGCTCATACAGAACTAATCACAGAATCTGACATGGCGTTGTTTGAGAACTAAACAAAGTAATATTATTTAAGAACAACATTTTTTTTCATCCAAGTTCGATTGTAAGCTAAAAGAAATTATCTCTAGTGCTCACTGAATAACTATCTGATTGTAATAGACGACTGCTGAGTGTAATTGTTGTTGTTCGTTTGTCGTCTTCGTTTGGTTTCGTTTGAGCATAATAAGATGATGTGCAATTGTTATCCGTAATTGCAAGGTGTATTGATGTTCGAATAAATTGATAGACTTCATTAATTTCATTCACAGATATATCACCATTATTTGTTAACAACTTACTCCAAATATCGTTAGTATTGTTTAATTTTAAACGAGAAAGGCGACAGTAGAAAGAATTACGACTGATGTGAACCCAATATTCAATAATAGTCGGGTTATTTACAAGAATACATTTAGTTATACGATGAATTTGAGTCCAACGTGACTCAAGCTCGATAGGTACGTGAATACTAAGAAAATCTAGCATTTTGATGAAATAAAACCATCAAACGATGTCATTGGGTGTGTGATAACATAACGGACATTGTAATCGCTTGTTTTTCTCTAATAAATGTATGTGACCTTTTCTCGTTCAATGCGCTGTTTTATCGTTTTTTTCGCTCGATACGCGTTATTTTTTGCCCCTAAGTTGATTCTTTTTCTGCTTTTTTTCCATTCCTGCCATGAGCTGACACATTCGTCTCATGATGTTTTGGTACGATTGCAGAGAGCTAGTGCCCAATGGTTTGTTGTATACAGAACAGGAAACAAAAATTCTTGTTGTAGCATAGTTATATAAAGAGTATTTTGTGTGTGAACCAGTGTTTCCAATGGAAATCTAAAACAAAATGTACAGTACACTCTACTTTTTGTGAGTAAAGTGTACATTACACTTTGCTTTTTTCAGCAGTGTATCAAAGTGTACAAAAGTCCAATTTTCACAATTTGGACAACAAAATATAATTTTCGCCATTTTTTATCTCATGGAACAAACATTTTGATCACATGAAACAAACATTTTG